CTTTGACAATTGTATCCAAAACTTGTTGAAGTCTATCTGTTTTGTTGTTGGCTTGCTTAGAAGTTGGTACAAATTCTATATGACAACTAACTGGAAACTAAAACTCCTGATTTGTAATGGAACTAAATACTAGTCTCGATACCTTTGGACTATCGATACGCTTGAAAGAGCTTTTCTTGGTAGACCTTACTGTAGATCACTTTATCTCGTAATATAAGATTGGGACAGCTGTAACCAAAGCGTTAACCAATTTAGAGCTTTGTTGCACCACAGAGTTAGTCATAATTGAGGTTATGAAAAGGCTGTTTATTAACAAGAACTTTAACTCATATATCCATAAGAATGCCGCAGTCGGTAAATCATACAAAAATAACCATTGCTCATAGAGCACAGGTTTATTGTATTTGGGCACCAGGTGGTAATACCCTACTAGTTTCAAGAAGCAAATCAATATTTTTGATAATATTCTAAGTTTGGTCTACAAAATTTCAGCATTGCATATTGCCTGTTCGCCGAACTTGGTAAATTGTTTGCGAACGTTCCATCCATAGCCGGGGTGACAACGTAATTGCTTGTGAGGTGAAAAGCCGTCTTCTGTGAAATATTGTAATCAAATAGTACTAAAATTCTACAATGACGAGCATATGAAAATCAGCAGTTATAACCAGCATCTAGTCAGGTGTATTATTTCTCGTTGCAGCAGAATATTTATCGTCAAACTCCTCTGTATGGTATCCCGGAAATCATTCTATGTGGATATCATTTGGAAGGTTGCGCTGTATGCCGATGCCGTCTATTCATATTTGTCAGTGATTGTCGTAACCGGTTATCTTTCATGGGTAACTAAAAGATAGTTCACCCAACAGTATTTTACATTTCTTCAAACTCGTGGTAAAAGGGAGTGTGCACATCAAATAGGTTTAAGTTTCCTCATCTACAACGGCAATTTTGATAAATCAACGTTAGATAAACGAATGTGTTTGAGCTCAATTTATCTGCAGACGTGGATAAGTTATAAAAATTCTAGGAATGACATCAGATTGATGATCTTCATTCGAGCAGTTATGACAAACAAATTTTCAATTTATCTGAACGTATTAGGAACATTGTTGGAAGCTTTACTTTGCGCACAATCCAGTAAAATTCTAGAAAGTATTTTAAGAGAGGGCCTGAGAAAAAAACACATTTCACGAGAAATCGTACAACCGTGTTTATCTGATGGCCTACTTGCAGCCATGTGTAAAAATCGTAGACAACGAAATATGACTAGTCAACAGGAAATTCACCAGAAAAACTGGTCTCAGTTGAAGCAGACTCATAGTGTAGCAATTAGGTCGAGGTTTGCATTGGAGACATTCATTATAAATAAATAGCTGATAATTTCGTAGGAACTTTTCGGAATCATTCGATAAACACTTCGTTCATTTACAAGAAAACAAAGAATCGTAGACCAATTCAGTGCAAAATATGTAACCTTGAAACAATGGGCACAAACATTAATGCTTCGAAGGGAAAGAAAACTTCGTGTTGTCGAACGGTGATAAGAAGTGTGTGACGTTGAAGAATATATCATAATATACTTGTTATCGGTTTTTATCTGAATACAATACACAGAACAGACAGTGATATGCAGTCGAAACGCGTGAGATTTGATGTTCCAAGATGTTTCACAAGGTGATTTCCTAACAATTAGTCAAGTGATTTTCAATAGTTTGAATGACGATTACATGAGAGCTTTTATGAAACAGCATCACTTTCACTTTTTACTGTTTGATAAGGTGATTTCGTGTACTTTGGCAGATCGATAACTTTGGAATATTCCAGCCGTATTCCTTGAACTATTTGTACCTCCAATTTAAAATGCAATATTTGAAAGTAAAAGTAAAAAATTATCCATCCACAGATAAAAATGGATCTTTCTTCTGGAAAGCCGCTAATAAAATATCCTCTTCGGAATAGGGTGCATTTGTTTAATTGCGGAGCAACTTTTATAATTTGATAGTTGCTCGCACTCTTCTACAATTTTGAAACCTTATCTACTGGTTTATGACAAAAGTTGTACATCATAAAACTGTTCGTCAAGTTGCTCTAGAATTACCAGTATTAAGCATCAGTTGCAATCAAATGCTGGGATTCGTTTCCGCTTTACTCATTGAGTTTTCCCAAAGCTAAACATCCGATTCTGATGAAAGCAATGGATGGATTTTTTTAAAGAGCTCTACAGGATGTTACAATTAAAAAACACAAATGGTGAACCTATCGAAATCTCCCTGACCTCAGTTTGAAATAGTAGGGACAAGTTTATTACGCATTGATTTTTCTTATTCAGTTGAATAAAAACCGATTGGAAGTATATTCTGATTTTTCGTCTTCATGTCTCAAATACCTCATTTTCAATATACCAAATTATACTTTAAAGTGAACTGGTGAGTGATAAGCCATTTGAAATAATCCATCGTGCGCTTCGGTTTCGGCCTCCTAAAGCGAATGGAAACTCTGCGATCTCGGCTAAATGACACTGTTCAATACTTGTCATAACTGTGAATGTGAACTGCGGAACACAGATTATCTCATCGATTGCACTCAGAAGGAGCAATGCATTCATTGGATACATATATTACGACGGCTAAATCACTATCCGGTGGCACACCAAGGTTGACTTAGTCACCATCATCCATGAGCACGGAAAATGAAATACAGGGCATACGCAGAAGCGCTCGGTTGCCTCTGTGAACGGTTCGGGAGACTTTGCTTGAATACAACGAAGTATGCTGTTTAAAACAATACCGGTAAATAATGGTGGACCTCAGATCGATCAAAGTATGGCTTTTAAACTACAAAAGTAAGTACATTTTACATATGATACAACGTGTTGTTGAGCAGAACATTAATTGACAGTGCAGGCAGCAAAGACTGGATATCTTAGATTTTCCAAGTGTAATTAGCAAGATTAAAATAATTTACTCGTATAAAAGGCTGAGGAAACAGAGTCAGAAAAAATATAAAATGTACCTACTTTCAGATGCAGTCGAGAAGCATTATCAGAACATTATCACCTCATTGTTTGGTCAGTGATTCTGACCGGTATTTGGCAGAAGGGCTGGAAGAAACATAAATGACATAAAACATAAATGAGTGCAAAATGGTAATCGATTTAGGAGGGATATTCTGAGCTCCATGAAACTGGAAACAAAAATGTTATTTTGGTTAACGTGTTCAAGTGACTTTTACACCTTTCATTGTACTATTCGGAATACATGTGATAATGTTTATATGCCTGAAAACACATACATAGGGGTTATTTAATTTTACTAAAATATAGAACAATAAAATTTGAATTTTCACAAATGCGCGAAACTAGTGTTTTCTGCGGTAGTTTATCTTTCACCAATTACTTTTTATTTTTCAGTCACGGTTTCTTTAGCTTTTGCCTATGGCTTTTAGCCGTCGGATCAGTTCACTTACTGATTAGTATAAAAGTATGTCCCAACAGCCAGCTGATAAATGTATCCGATTCTAAGGGGTATTTTCAAAATGGTTGACGACCGGCGGTGGGAAATAATCCGGACGAAGATCGCAAAAATGACGGAAAACGGCGAGGCTCATTTGAAAATCGACTGCATGCGTCTCTGAGTTTGCACAAGTTCCTAAGCCAGGAATAGAAGCGAAGTTCAGTGAAGGGACTATGAATATAATATCTCGTTACCTCGATCGCTCACGGCCCAACATTGTGTGGGTAACTGTGTAAGCTGGGCTCGTTTTGTCGAACATTTTACAATGACTCTTCCTGATCGAATAAAAGTACAGTCTCGTTTTCGTGGTGCCCTTCAGTAAACAAGTTGATACAACGAATGAAAAGCCATGAGCAAAGATACGTCACCACGAGGAACACTATTTGTAACGGATTGAATGCAAGGTATGAGACATGTTGTTCTACATCGTCTATTAAAAGAACCACAGGATTGTACAAATAGGAAAAATAGCGTTGGACGATCTGAAACATGTGGACAATGGACATTGATCCACTCTACAATTGGGCAGTTGCATTCATGGATCAATTTAAGAGGTCGGATAACATAAGGAAAATTTCACATTGAATACAAGCCCCCTACTTGCATATAAAACAGCTTTACCGGTAATCATCAGATAGAACTTCACTTCGACAGCATGATCTTAATCCCTTATGCGAGGAATTTGTTCCCCACTATAAGGAAAATGTTATACTGCTGTAATAGTGGTAACCAAAAATATAATTTAGAATAAATCTTAAGGAGTATATATTTGTGTTTGTTTTGTCTCAGTTTGCGCCTTGTTCAACCTGAGCAGTTGATCTCAATGCGTTCAAATCTACTATAATCTATGGTTCGTAGATATATGGTTTTTCTTTGGTCACGGAAATTTTTCTCTGTATTTCTTGTTAGAGAGGAGGCGGGTGTCTTTGAACGGGAATAGTAATTCGTGATATCGAATTTGTTGCAAAAATATATCACAGGTCCCTCACCTTTTTGCCATCGAGACGCAATATGGAAATGGGGTAACAACATTTTTTCAAAGTACGATGTTAGTAAATGGAAATATCGATGATATACAATACCACAATACCACAATACAATATCACACAGTTTCAGTTTCATACCTATTTTTCGTTTACTTCTGTGCTTCGATTCCCTACTAGTGCATAGGTTACCGTCGAAAAAGAAAACACAAATTGCTTCCGGTACTACAGTTTCTGGGTCTCATTTAATCAACAAAACCATTTTAAACCTTTTCGGGGCAATCTAAATGATGGCGTTAAACAGATAAGAACTATTTCGTGTCTTTTACCCTACCACAATATACAACTCAAGAATCTTAAGTGATCGAGTGTGCTGATTATAGGAGATATATGTGTGACAAACAATCGGTAATCTTTTTAGTTCTCTTTTACAGGTTTACGATGGAATTCGTGTTTTCAGTGGAGAAACAAAAAATGGACATTTCTCACTTTAGCGGTGATAGAAATGTTCTGTTTTGGTGGATACCACTATGGTTACAACGCTCTGAAAGAAAACTTTATGAGTGTAGGCGTATTCTCTTATCTACGCAATGGAACGGACTCTTCAAAACAAGAGATGATGTTCAACTATGCATTTAACACTTGGATCAACACACAGATGGTTCTGATCAGTGGCGCCGGATTAATCATGGACAAGGTTGGTCTACGAGTCTTGAAGCTTCTGGCAGTGTCCCTATACTGTATCGGAACAGTGATGTTTGCATTCACAAACGAAATCGCGTCAGCCTTGTTGTTCCCTGCCGGGATTTTGGTGGCACTAGGAAGTGTTTCATCATTAATTTGCGACCATCAGATCAGTTCCATGTTTCCTGCAGCCCAAGGTCTTGCAATAGCACTGATCTCCGGGGCTTTTGACTCCAGTGCCATGATAACGTTCATCATTACAAAAATTTCTCCGGATATTTCCTTAGGATCCTCGTTCGTATTCCTTGCTGTTGCCTCACTTGTGTATGGGCTTCTCATGGGATGTTTTGTTCTCACCCGCTGGGCCCCAGATATGGCAAAACAATCGAGAATTGAGGAGATAATTCATGGTATGGAACTTGGTCCTGAAAAACAGATACACAACGTAAGTGGTGAAGATACTGCATGATTTATTTCACGAATATTGTTGCGATCTCAACCATATTGTTTTGAACGAGTTCCTTGCATCCAACGTAATAGTTTATTGCAAATTGAGGGAATATTTATTGGATGTTTTTGGATAATAAGGCAGAATAAAGTGTTGAAATAAAAGAACAAGCGAACGAAGGTTTGTTCCATGAGTGTAGATAAGATCGGCATCCGGTGGGCTTGTGCCAACTGTTTTGACGGTCTATCCCTCACAAGGAACGCATTGTTGCAGTTTACTTCGATTGCATTCTACAGAACAACATGAAGTTTGTTTGCGATTAGCTGTTTAAAAGTGTAAAGTAAATCTCGGAATGGGAGTTTCAGTTTTCACTATTTACCAAATGAATGACATACGTATAATACAGTGTAAGGTATCTAAAAGTTACGATTACATTGTGATCAATCCTACTTTTTTGTTAGTTCTTCGCTGGTTCTATCAAATCTGTTATTACTTCCAAAGGGTCTAACCTAATGGGTTTTGCTATTTTTACCACAGGCGTCGGCGATCGAACAAGTGGAGGTGGATAAAATTCTGCAAAACATTGTCAGAAAACGCTATCCGACATTGCAAAGCTGCATTTTGTCCCTGCCGTTTGCGGCTTTGTCTCTATCGTTCACGATCGCTTTGCTTCGTTTGACTTACTTCTTCACTCAACTGGTTCCCATTTTGAATCGTGCTTTTCCCGACCAACCCGAAACCGTTACCTCACTTTTGAAGATTTCTTCCATTCTACTCACTGCTGGATTGGTAGTCTCTCCTTTCTCTGGATTTGTGCTAGTCTATTCAAAATTATATTTCAAAAGGCGGATTGAGCAAGCTATATCACAAACAAGCAGCACTACAGGGGAAATTGATCTGTACTGGATGTATATCCGAAGTATGGCACCCGGGTTTCTGGTGCTAGCCGTTTCAGGTATTCTGTGCAGCGCCTTACAGTTTTCCACCTCCCAGATTGCATTCTACACATCATGTATTGTTTTGGCTGTTTATCGATCTGTATTGTTTAGCGTCTGCACTAATTTTATTCTGATTGCATTCCCTCTGAGAAACTTTGGCACTGTCAATGGTCTGTTATATACACTCGGTGGGATTCTTAATCTGTTGGAGAATATCATGCAACACGTGGACACTGTTTCCGGGGTTAGTATTTCTTTGGCTAATTCGTGCATGCTTCTCATCACTCCAATCTTTCTATTCCTGAAACGCAACTAGTCCTTTTCATTCACTTCTTGATAGCTCTTCTTTTTTCATCCCAGGGACATGGTGTTTCACTATTTTGATGTTTCATATGCCAAATACTGATCTCGTTTCAATCAATCTGCAATGCATTTGATTTAGTTGAACTACTAGAAAATTCTTTTGTTCACGCGTAACTGGAACCACAAATGTTATTTTCTAAAGAAACGCGTCTGAAAATCTACTTGAATTCTCGAGGATGGGAGGGTAGCTAGAGGGAGGGGGAAGAATCAAAAATAAAGCTCACAGAAAGTGACTAAGTGTGCGCAGTGCTTTATTCTGATTTAGAATGTAGTCAAAAAAGGGGATTGGTATAACTGAGGTGAAGCACTACGTGACCTGTCAATTTCTGCTATAGATGATTTTGCTGGACTGTAACTAACCCCTTTTAGTGTATGATCTTGATGTTTTCTGCCAATATTTTGTTGCACACAGAGATACAGTCTAATCTACGAAGCACAACACTCATGGGGCAATCTAAAATTGTGGTTTCTGACGGCCCATGAGGTCTATTCAGATGGTATGGGTTTTGCGTTTTACGACAAACCATGTGATCAAATTTTTGTGGAAAACAATGAACTATGGACCTTTTGGGAGAACAAAGAAGGAAATATCGTTCTTCTTGGCGGTAGTTTATTTGGAAAAAGTCCGACAAGTGAAAAGCTGCTTTTTCATCATTTATCAACTAGTTAGTGTAATTATATAGGGTCACTTGAGGTGTACTATTCATTTTTGATTATATCAAATGACGTACAAAGAAAATTTTAGGTGTTTACATGCTTGCTATTTAGGTTGGTTACTCATTTAGCGCATATCAAATATTCCATGACGTCTTAGGTGAGTATTCTATTCGGGCTTATCTCATGAGTATCCAGTCCGCAAAAGTTAACAAGTCACTCGAAAAATAACATTAATTGAACAACTTATTAACATTTATGGGAGTATTTTTCAACAACCTGGATATTTGGTTGGAGTAACTATTAAAAGAACACACGCACAAGTTGAAGCTGGTTAACCCAGTAATATTTTCCATTTTATTTTTAAAATGTAAGCTACCGAAGACTTTTCTAAATTTTTCACCAATGAAGTGAATAAATGTCTCTAACATTTCTACACAGTTTTGTTGTTTAGTAAATGACCGTCTATAGTTAGTATTCTCCCACATAAAATGAATATTATCGAAGATATTGTTGATCAAAAGTGACTTGAGAAATCCAGTTCCTGGACATCACCTTATGAATTCAAATTTTAAATCAGTTCCCATAGTGTTGCCATTGATGGATAAGAACAAAGTGAAAACGCAAAGGAAAACTGCTTTTCGATATATTGCTCTACGCATTCACATTTAGTATTGATAAATTATTCAATAGATTAATACATAGCCTAAGGTGATGCTGAATGAATGTATGCCTATGTAAAATTTCCGGTTCATTACACTCTATGGGATCACAATAAATTAATTTGAAAAGCAGAGTAAACTGAATGAATAAAACAGGTGTGAGTAGAAAAGGGTGGGAAATGAGGAAGGAGGGGAGAGAGTCATATAGAAATATGGAGCAGTCACTTTCACAACCAAGGTAACAGCAGCGCTTGAACCAAAATACGGAGTTTGCCCAACACCGGCTTCATAATCCTGATTGCGATGAACTTCAAAGTTATCAGGATAATCTTATGCAATCCTTCAGTGTGTTTCTTAGGTGTTTTAAACAGACCAGTGAGTTGTTTCTTTGGCAATCCTATGTCAACTGTCGACTAGGTGTTTCGGGATTCAGCTGTTTAAGTTTCACACTATTCTTTTTCAAAAAACGGCCAGACAATATCCAGATATTTCCGTGAACGAACGGCTGTTGTGTGTTCGGTATAATGATCACTACGAGTGCACGCAAACTTATATATACCAAAGATTGAGATTACAGTTGTTCGCACATTTTTCAATCTACTTTCCCCTATTGATTTAGCATGACCGCGTGGCACGTAATCAACCAAACATTTCGTACACAGGCACGCTCACAGAGCAGCAGCCTCGGCTTTGTACTAATCCATTTAATAATCGGAATTATGTATGCAAATACCTGTTGCGATATGAAAATGAATTTTCTTCGCATTTTCACTTTGGTTAAATTATTTCTGTCAGCAATGATTGATAAATGAATGGATTGTGAATAACGGCAATATTAATCTGTAATCTGGGTTGCACACTGTGATCGGACAAAGATTACTGATGGTGCATACAAACAAGTTATGCAACAATGTATCCTGGATCATTTCGCTGCATCTGTACACATGCATACTGCAGTCTATGTGATTATTAATATATGGTCAGTAAATAACAGAATCATAGGCGGAGAAAGATTGCGATCAAAATTACTCACCAAACACATTTGTTACCAAGGTAGCGCCAGAGTAATAAGCCATTCACGCTGTTTAGATAGTTTGGGACGGTAATTTTGAATGGCTAGTGCCTCGGCGTATTTCAGAACCTTGGTGTTGTTTGTGTTGTAGAGGATTCTGAACGCATCGCGCAGCATGACACAGTGTTTCATTTCGACCAGGTGTTGTGTGATCGACGAACTGAGTTTCCTACGCGTCATTGGTGACCTCATACTTCCGAAGTTTCCATTCATTGTTTTCTGAAGCCAGACCGGGATGGGCTCGGTTACTCGATAACGCAGTTGTCTCTCCGTTCTGCCGATGTAGATGGCCAAGCATCCACACTTGAACTGATAGATACAATTAGATTTGGCGTAGGGAGACAGCGGTCCTTTCACCGATAGTATTGGCAACCGGGTGGTTGTAAAAACAACAATTGGGTCAGCTGCGTAGTAGGTCCGCTTAACAAACCTGTTTTTAGCTTCTTTATTCAAATTACTTACGGGGAAACTATGCCTCCAAGTTATGCAACACCTGGTTTGCTTGTCCACCATCGTTGTCGATATTTATAGATTGGTCAGAATTTCTTTTGCTTTAGAGGATACCAGCAAAATTTAACATCATCGTTATGGGGTTTCACAAATTGCAGTTCCATCAGCGTTTCCTGTCATTTGGTCATATTTAGTTTCCATCATTGTTATTTTTCCAATGAACAC